TCTAAATCATATATTTCGATCTATAAAATAAAAGAAACGTGCCTTTTAACATCACAAAGGACAGTATAAGACTAAATCTCTCATAACTATGAGAAATGCTAGAAATCAATTCGTCAATGTTTTGTTCTCACTTTTACGTCGCGCAGATATATTATAGTACGCCAGAGCTAATGCCTAACTAACAATGGAACTTTCGCATTTTAAAACCTCTTGCATTCTGATGCGTACTGTTTCGTATCGTATCTTGACGTTGCATGACTTGACTATTCCTCGCATGACTTGAGCTGCTGCCAATAAATAACCTGTAATATAACATTACACTATATTGTTATATCGTAGTTTAGTTAATAAAAAATTAACTAAGAAAAATTCGGCTGTACTAGTGTTTAACAATATCCTTGATACAAAATGTATAAGCTAACATTTCAACTTATTTTAACTTTTCTGCCAACAGCTGCTACAAAGACAAGATTTCCCCGAATTAATTTCCTTTCCCGTAACTTGATTCTTGTCTGATATGTTCCGTATATAGCCAAACATAATAGGATTCAATAAAGAAATATGCTTATAAATATTGCAACTATCCCTCTCTCTTTATTTATGGAATATTGTAAATGGTAACTTGGCTTGGTCCTTTAGGCCACAAAGCTTATAATCTAATAAAGGAGTTTTTCTTTATCTACTTTTATCACGCTTAATGAGGTGTAAGCGATCAGTTTTCGTTCAAAAGAAAAATACTGTGAGTGATTGATGATGGTATAAGAGCCTGTAGAATGGATGGAAGATCATTTTTGAAACTTTTTTTTAATTGTTAGATGGAGAAAATATGTTCAAGTATAAATTTTTATCTAAAGACTTTTAATAAGGATGTAACCAAATACTTACATTTTATACTTCTAGCAAGTAAATAAGTTTGTTTTTTAAAATTATGTATATTCCTTAGTTGTAGAATTCGTATTGACATTTCTAATTTAAATGTCTTTCCCGCTAATATAAAAAAAAATTTTGATGAAATTTTTGAATTTTGCTTGATTAAATAAATTTTAAAATATGTCCACGTTTAATATAGTGTTTATCTTTGAATAATCTATTTAACTGAATGAAATAATCAGTAAGATGTTAGTGGACCTTTAAAATCTTTGAAAGAAACTTATTTATTTTAAATATTATTTGTATTGAGGCTAGAAACTTAATTAATTTGGTATGAATTAAAAATAGTTAAGTTTAAAAACTCAATTAATTGTCACAATTCAATTCGTTTAAATACTCCTCACAATATAATTTTTTTTGAATTTATTAATTTTGTATTTTTCGGTCATAAATAAGGTTTCCAACAAATGCTACTTAAATGAATTAAGCAATTAAAATGTAAACTGCATATTCTTTTGTATTTTTAATTTTTGCATTTCTTTGGTCACAAAGCTATGGTTTTGAATAAATGCTACTTAATGAATTAAATAATTAAAATCTAAAGTGCAAATTCTTTAAAAAAAAGCAATTTCTTATAAAACATTTATGGAAAATTAAAATTTTATTATTTTAAAGCATATAAAAACCATTTTAAAATTATTTGTGGTAATTTTTGTAATAAACTTTATTCCATATCAACTTTTTAAAAAAAAATTAATATGATATTTAAAGATTTCTAGTGTGAGAGACTTTTTTAATGAGATGTAAATTAAAAATTTGCTTCTATTTAAATTAATATATTCAGCTTTTTTTAATTATCTCATTTGACGCTTTGTACATACATAACTAACGCACGAAAAATGAGGTTATTGGCATCAAGTATAAGAAAAATCATTTAAAAGGTTCACTTTCCCATTAAGATTCAAACATTTCTCATAGTAAAAACCAAAAAAAAAAGAAACATAAGAGGAACACCTAGATTTGCTAGTGCTACTTGCTGCAGACATTTTGCATAGAGTTTCTATTACGCAAGACGTAACTCTAACATTATTTCTAAGGAAATTTTCGCGCATGTGCTGTGTTGCTCAAACCACGTTAGCGTTAGAGTTATTGTGAAAGGTAGCACATCGCAAAATCTCTCTAATGCCTAACAATAAACACTAGAGTTTACACTACTAGTCAAGAATAGGACATAATTTTTCTGTCATGTTGTTGCTGCTTTAGTAGTTCTTGCTTTCATTTATGAGAAAAAAAATTCTGTTAAGTTGCCAAATTTATATTGTTTTTCAATTTTTATCGCATTGTTTTTGTCAGAGCTTCTCTTGCCAAAACAAATATTTTTTACCTTTGTCTTCGTATTAACATAGTTAGTATTTTTACCAGTACTGCGCAGGTTTTGTTTGCTACTCAACCATCTCACTAAATTACGCCACGCTACATAAAGTGTATGATCACCCATGACCTATAATTTTAGAAATTTTACTCCGGTGGTAAATTTTACAAAAGACAAAAGTTATTGTAAAACAATGCATTAGTGTGCGGCACTCTGTGGATCACTTTCGTAAAGAACATTCGGTACATTTCGGTTAGATTGGCGCATGTGAAAAGTCGCCAAAACCCAATGTCGCCAAACTAAAATAGAACCAACGTATTTTTAAATGTTTTTTTTTAATTTTAAACCTATAAAAATTAAATGAAGTATAAAAATTAGTAAATAAAATAATAGTTGAACTTCCTTGCGCTCAGCTAATCGAAAAGTACCGATGATTCGATGAATTTTTTGTGGAAAATATCAAAAAAGACTCATAAAACTTAAGATGTATTTTATTATCCAAATACAAGCTGCATTAGTTTAAATTAAAATACTAAACGAAGTAATACATCTATGAAATTCAAACAAATTATGAGCATAAAAAGCATCACCATATACCTTTAACTGAGTCATTTTAAATACATCTATTAAATACTTACTACATTCATGTTGACTTTAAGATAAACGAAATTCATTTTAATAACTTGATTCGTATTCATTCTCTTTAACGATTACAATTAAATACAAAAGTTTACGAATGGTATTGTATTCTACGTGCATTCTGTAACTAATTAATAATTTTCTTCGTGAGAATGGCCAAAATAATTGCGATCAACATGCGTTCACTATGCAATTGTAAGCAAAATAAAAATATATACAGATATAAAATATTTAAATATCATTTCCTGTAAGATGAAGATACTTGAGAAAGTTGTACCAGGTTTGTAAATGCATGATTTTTCGCTATCTTGAGAAGATTTTGCGAAAGAAATCTCTGAAACAATTATTTCATCTGCTTTTTTTCCCTCATAGTTTTCAGGCTACCAAAATTTTAAAAACTTATAAAAGTAGCCTTAATTTATTGGGAATTTATTTCATTTGTAAAGAGAAAATTATCAGTCATTAATATCGAATCTAATCATATCTATTATATTATGGGAAAAGGTAATGAGCATATCTTAATTAAGAAACATTTATTAACATATAGGACACTTAACATATAGGAAGAGGCCGTCTGTCTCGTCAGCTTCCATCACATTCGCTGCGAGGGAAGAATCAGAAAATTGACAATCTAACCACTGTTTAGTTAAAGGGTTAGGATGTGCGCAATGGGATGCGTGATGAGATACGCAATGCTGTGCGTGAGCACAAAGTAGCAAATGCGCTTCCTACAATATTGTGAAGTTAAAATCAAAACTTAAATTAAACAGATAAACATCGTTAGTCATTGTCCTTACATAAAATGTGATAAAATTCATTTCACCAATTACCACCAAATACTAAGGCTTGGATCTAAATTTTTCCAGCAGCAAGCAAATTTTTAAATTTGTTTCTTCAAATCTTCATCATTTTAAATTCTTACTTCGAAAACATCTGCCCCACAGTATCCAAATTGTTAATAATTATTCAAATCAAAGCAATTTTTTAAAATTATATCGTTACATGTAGTTTTCAATTTTCGTTAATTTTTTTCATATTTCTCCCTACCTCTACAAGTTTTACTAAAATATATTATTGTTATGAGAAAAGGAGGTTGAATTTGCAATACTGAGGATTCATTACTGATATATACATTATTGATCATCATAATTTTTAATGAAAACTTATAATAATCAGTTTCTAGAATTGGGTTAATAAAACTTTCACTAAGGAAGCTTTATGTCGACTGCTATTTCCAATTTGTATAATCAAGAATATCTTTCCACTTCAGTTTCTTAAGATTATTAGTTTAAAGAAGCTTATTTTAGGCTTAAGAATTAACATCAGGTTAGAAATAGGAAAGAATTTCACTTATATGACTTCATTGTTGAGAAATTTTAAAAGTGACTTCAAATAATTAAGAATCACGAGAGACTTTTACTTTTCTTATTTCATTGTTGATGAAACTTTCAATAAAAAAGTATATTGTTCGGACCACGAATTAATGTCATGTGGAAAATAGGAAGGAATTTAACTTATATGACTTCATTGTTAGGAAATTTTAGCAGTGACATCAAGTAATTAGGAATAAATTATGAGGAGCTTTTACTCTTCTTATTCGTTAATTTTTCGAATCTTCTTATTCGAATTCTTCTTATTCGTTAATGAAATTTTCACTAAAGGAGCTTATTGTTATGACCAAGAATTAACGTGAGGTGAAAAATAAGAAGGAATTTCACTTATGGGACTTCATTGTTAGGAAATTTTAGCAGTGACATCAAATAATTAGGAATAAATTATGAAGGACTTTTACTCTCATTATTCCATTGTTAATGAAATTTTCACTAAAGAAGCTTATTATTATGACCAAGAATTAACGTGAGGTGAAAAATAAGAAGTAATTTCACTTCATTGTTAGACAATTTTAACAGTGACATCAGATAATTAAGAAGCATGAAGGAATTTTACTTATCTGTAATTTCTTTCAGAAGTTATTCTAAAAAATTTTACCTCCACGTAAGAGAATTTAAAAGCGTAGTTTAATCAAGCGAAATTGAATATTCACTTTTTTCTCAATATAAAATGCATTAATTTCTTTTTTTCTCACTTATATTAAAATTTAAAAAAATAATAAATATTATTTAAATTAAATAAATAAATATTATTGAAATTAAATAAATAAATATTATTGAAATTAAATAAATAAATATTATTCAAATTAAATAAGTATTCTCTATCTAATTATTTTTTTACTGTTTGCATAACATTTGCAATTGTGAACGCACGGACTTTAATACAGCCATTTCACTCTTTTAGTACAAAACTGATGGTAAATTACAAATGACATTTCGATAAATATATCCTTTTCTGAAAGATTGTGCCGCCATCTTTCTAATCAAATTGCAACTTTCTTATATAGCTTTGTATGTACAATATTTTCCATTCTTTTAACAAACCAAGATTTTGAAAAGTATGCATATTCCGCGTATGCATACACATTTACGTTTTGAATAAATATGAATATGTATGCATATATCAGTCACACTCCAGTCAACGAAGACAGTGTCATCTTCTCAGTTAAGCGATGGGGTTTTGATGAAAGTGAAAACATAAGGGATTAGCAGATAAGAGGAGCATTGAGGCTGTCTCCAATGTCCACACTTGTAGCCTCGTATGGAGGATCCTTGGGCGGACCCTCAGAAGCGTTCCCACGAAGATTCAATGAAAACTTGCCTCGGTCTTCGCTGGGGAAAAGAATTGTTTTAGTGAGAGGAAAAATATATTGTTAAAAGAACACATTGTGCAATGAAATATTGTCATATACCAGAACAATTTTCAGAGAACAAAAATTTTTAATTTTATTTTAAGAAAAAACATCCTTTTCTCGAGAAGAGAAGACTATTTACTCCTAATTTTGGGTAAAATTGCTATATATTTAACGCTTGGTTCATGATATTTTTAAATTCTAAAATTCTTGTTTTAAAAACCATAAGTTGATTCATTTTATGATAACGTTTTACCATAATAGCATCATATTTTGAGAGGTTTCGTCAAAGTCTGCTTTCATTCCTTTACCCTTTATCAATAGGTTAACGAATGAAGTCACCGAATTTTTACAATTCTTTATTTTAGTTAAGCGTAATGTTATCCTTGCGCTATACGTATTAAGTTAATTTTTTTAAGTTTTTTTTAAAAATGTTAGGAAAGTAGAAAAAAATGGACACTGTCACTTTAATACAATTCCTTTGCCTCGTCTTTCTATACTTGACCTGTTTATATAAAGCACCTAAACTTATTTAAACCAATTTTATTGCTTAACTTCCTTAAAAAGAACTGAAGTTGTTTAACAACAACAATTTTGTATCACAAACTTTATTTGTAAATTAATTCAACTAAATTTTAAAAAAAGTACTATTTAAAAATAAATCTTTGAATAATTATGTTTGCTGATTAAATCTTAAAATGAAGTTTTTAGAGCATTAAGAATAAAAAATGCAAAACTACGCTGCATAAATTTTAAAGAAAAAACTGTTAAAATTTTTTGCATTAAATAATATTTTTACTATTATATGTTTAATAAACTAAATTTAAATCCGTCTAAAAATGGGTAATTTTATAATTACAACGGATTGTAATTTAGTCGGATTTAAATTTAGTAAATAAATAACAAACAATCGGCAATTGACTAAATTCACTACTTGATTTCTACTATTTATAAGCAATACTATGTACTAGTTCCTTGTTCTAGTACTACTAAAACAAAACTATAAATTATGGGGAATGTGAAAATCAAATATAAGGCAAATAATAGCCTTCGTTGTTGTTGCTGTTGCTTCGAATGGCACTTAGAAAAGCCAAGCTCGCCTGCCATTGAATTTTTGCGAATTTAATCGAAAAAGCGTGCATTTTGTTTGACAAGAGAACGTTACAAGAATGAATGTACATCATAGCTCAGAACCCCAAGGTTGGATGGAAGCAATACTCTATTGTGAGGCCACTTCCTCTATTTAGACATAGCTCTGAAGGGGAAGGAAATTTTATCCAGATCTCTGTACCCATGGTACTGCCCAGAGACCAAACACACGACTTTCAATTTCACAGTTAATTCGAGTACGCATATCGTATGTACCCGGTGGGTCTAACCATTCTCATGATCAAATCCCTCTCTAAACCTAAGTCCAATTCTCTAACCTCTGAGATATGACAGCCCCGAATCTTTATTTTAATTTTAATACATGCGTAATGAATGAAACACGAAGAAATATTTTTCTGTTATTCAAATACTCACAGTTTCTGCTGCTTCAAGTCAGAACATGATCTTCCAATTTTTCGAGTAAATCTTTGGTAAGTTTTGTTGATACGGCAGTGACAGACGACAGCTACTAATCCCACCAGAGCGGCTGCCATACTCAGCATCGTTCCAACTAGATACAAATTGTGCCAACGATCTAAACTTTCACCGTGATGCCCCCCTTCATCTGGCTCCCCAGGATCCTCCAGAGTTCTAGGCAAAGGTTGTGCTGCTACCATGGCTTCTGCAAATAAAGTGAATGAGATACAGGTAAATTATGTGAAAGATGGTGCGCGCTGCATTTGAAAATGTGACAAACTCACCCTCGCATAGATCTCCAGTGAACCCTGGATTGCAAGAGCAGAAATATGAATCTAAACTTGGCCAACAGCTTCCACCATTTTGACAAGGATTTGGATAACAAGGATCATAATGCTGGGTGCAACCAGGACCTTAAAAATAATGGTTAAGTTTAAGAAATATCACCTTTCATTAGATTAGTTTAAATTACACACTAATTACGGTCTGTGGACGAACGAAAGGATGTATGAATGGGTTCACCCTGTAAACGGGTGTGACGTATAGGTGTGGCAGAAGTCGAATTTTTGGCCATAGATGGCGCCACTGGAAAACAAGAACAATCGCTCCCCCTCTGACTTAATGGCATACGTCAACAACAAATTACACAGTGTTGACACTTAGGGGTAAAGTTGCCGCCAGTTTTGGTATTCAGGTAAGCTATATTCATTTTAAAGAAAAGAACTGTAGTTATCGTGCAATAATTATATAAAACTGGCAAAATTACAATTGTTTGAAAGAGTTAGTACAGATACAAAGCTGAAAATGTGCATGTCTTTTAAACGAAATGTTATTGCAATGAAGCCATAAATTTACTATGAATGCAAGTGTTGTAAGAATAAAAATTGAATAGATAAAAAATAAAAATTGAATAAATAAATTAAACAATAGCAGGTGAAAATGTAAATAAAAAATGTAGATACATACACTGAAAAAGAAATTACATCAGCACCAAAACTGGAGTCAACTATACACCAAGCAAATTCAATAAGATTTAAAATTTGCGTTTCTGCAAGTCCCCGTGCTGGTGGTTTTTTTCAAATCGTTAAAGATCATTCGGGAATTATAATTCTTTTTTAAGAATAATTTTTCCCCCTTGAAAGGGAAGGTTAGATTTTAATCTCTAATTGGGTATTTTTTTCTCGTCGAGGAAATAAATTGTAAGTTATGATATGCGAATATTTTTCTTCGAAATAGTATTCAAATAATGGCTATCTATCTATAACTTAAGTATAAGTCTTTTTTATCTATCTTTTATAGCTTTAGTATAAATAAAAGTATCCGGCAATAATCCATTATATGAGCCGTTTACTGACCATTTTGATGAACTCCATAAATACAAAAAGTGGAAAATAGGATGGAAAAAATGTTCCTTTCCTTTATAATATAAATTCTGTCATTTAATTGTGAAATACTCAAAAATTAATAATAAGAGTTTCAAAATTATCGGGACCATATTTTCCAGTTTGTGGTTACTCCCCATTTTTTGTGAGAAAAAAAAAGCTACGTCTCTTTAGAAAAGTACGTTTTTGTGATTGATTTCGGCATTTTCTAATTAAAATACTTACACCATTAAATTGAGTCTCAGTACGTAAAATTCCTATTACTTGATCATAGTTATTTAGGGCGGTCACTTTCTTCTTTTGTGTATATTTTGCGTATATTTAGAATGTTTAAAAGTTTTCATTTCGTTAACCAAACAATAGAATTCCTTTAAACATGTAATTAATGAATTGCGATAAAAAATAAAACTTAAATTTTTCAGCAATTTAACCTTATCTTTTCAAAATAAGACTCTTAATAATAGACCTTATACATAATATCTTCGATGAACTAGAATTAAGAGCGTCATATAAAATCTATTATTGTTGTCATTGATGAGACTTTCAATTTTGACGTGAATATTGAAATAACAATTAATAACACTTTTCAATTTCTTTCAACATATAAACTGATTTTGAATTGTTTGAATTTCTTTTTTATTGGTGTAACCTTGATTCTTATTTATTCGCTAGTTTAAACACCGTTTTACAATTTTTATTGTGCAAGGTGACATTACATATCGGTGACAAGACCTAACATTGTAGAAAAGATCACTTAATTCAAAATGCAGATGAAATTAATGAACCCAACTCGTTTTATTAATTTAGATAATTTGATATTTAGATTATTTGATATCCATAATAGATTACCATTGTATCCGGGATGACAGATGCAGCTGTAGTTGTTACCTCTGTCCACGCATTGCGCTGGTGAGAGGCAAGGATTGGGTTGACAGAGATCTACTTTTATCTGACAGCGACGTCCTTGGTAGCCTGGTCCACAGTGGCAACGGTAACCGGCAACTAAATCTTCACAAGCTCCTCCGTTGATGCATGGGCTTGAATCACACTCATCGTACTCGAACTCGCAATGATCACCACCGTAACCTTGAAAACAGAAAATATAAAGAGGACTCAATAACACTGGATGAACTCCATCCTTTGGTTAATTTATTCAGAGAACAATGACATCACGTAAACTAAGAGTAAACCGTGAAGTTTCAAATGTTGAAAAAATATTTTTAAATTGCACACAAACTATCCATAGATTAGGAGCATAATTCTGTGAATTTATACCAGCTTTGGATTTTGATACATTTATGTTTTTTAATGTATAAAAATTCAGGGTTTACTCTATATTTTTCTGAGCTTACTCTTTCTGTAATTTAAGTTTGAAAATACAAATCAGTGTAAAAGAAAATTTTCAATGAAGGACTTCTGTCGTGGTAAAGACTCCTCTTAAGTAATATGGACACTAAAACTGGGATTGAGAAAAACGTATTAATTGATAATTCAATATTACAAATTCAGATTAAACTTTTAAAAATAAAGTTTTAACTCGGGAATCAATTATCTTAATCATTTTTTATAGCCAACAGTTATAAAATAAACTCGAGATACCCGAATATATTTGGAGACAAAAAAATTTGTTTTATTTAGAAAATTTTTCTTATTTTGGTCATTGATGTGGCTACTGTGTAAAACTTCCTAACACACCCTGGACGGGGATGAATAGCTTTAATGATTCGAGCATCATGCCGGGAGGTCCTTGTTTCAAATCTATCTGACAGCCAACGGACATCTTTCTCATACATTTCTCCACCTATGCATTTTGCTCAAAAAATGAGTATAGTCTGTTTCAATTTTGAATACTGCATTTTGCTCAAAAATGAGTATAGTCTGTTTCAATTTTGAATACTGTATTTTACTCGAAAATGAGTATGGTCTGTTTCTATTTTGAATAAAAGACGTTTTCAAATTAAACTGTTATTTGGGTTGGAGCTATTTTGTCATATTTTTGCTCAATTTTGAGGAATCATTTTCACATATTTTGCTAGGTAGGGATTAAAGTTTGCAGAAGACCGCTTTTCCAAGGGTTCCTCCAACGGCGAATTTAACAAATGACAGGCCTCGTTATTAACAAATCCGGATAATTCAGAAGGCAGATAGGACAGAGGGCGAGTAGTCACGAAGCGAATTGTTGGAAGCCTTATGTGCTTTTAAAATAGGGTGGCTTTTCCGAGCAAAATATTTAGTACAGTTGAAGTTCAGAGACTCGGTGCATCTTTTAGTGGGTTAATTTCCGCAGAAAGGAATAATTTAAAGCTACTTTGAGGTCTGATACTTTTCAGAAATAACCTCTTCCCAAGCAATAAATAACTTTTACAACTAATAATCATGAAACAGTATTTTTGTGATCAGTAAATAAATATTGACATTCACCGGGTAAGCAGTAGCACTTATATCCACCGTCACCATCTTCACAAACCCCATGAACACAGGGGTTAGAAAGACATTCATTTACATTAGTTTCGCAGTCAGCGCCAGCAAAACCTTTTGGGCACTCGCATGTGTACTCAGTCTGGTTTCCAGTACATGTTCCATTGTTAAGACAGGGCTTGCGATCACACAAACTCACCTCTCCTTCACAAGATCTGCCACGGTAACCTGAAAAACATTGTTTTAGTCAATTTAATTAATATTTAAGAACTAGATTTGAAATTTTGATCTTTCAAATTTTATTTAAAAATTTTATTAGCCATACATAAATAGTGTCACTCTTAGAGAGGAGGGAGGGGTTTCATTAAATCGTTACGATTTTTCACAATTTAGAGAAGTGGGGTAACAAAATGCGTGAAATCTCATGGTTTGGTTTGAATAAAACCATTTAAATTTACAAATTAAATGTTTTTTTCTTTATTATTTGTTTACATGAATTTATCGTCGAAGTAAATACGCACCCAATCATTATACATTGTAAAAACACTTAGTGAAATTTGACATGCAAGACATGAGGAATGACATGTGTTTTGTTACTAAAAAGCTAGCATATGCTGATTTAATATAGCATGACGTGTGGCAAGGGGGCTAGATGTTATGGAAAGTTAGAAACTTTGCGACAGAAAGAAAAAGAGAGTAAAAAGCACTGAAAAAAGTGGGACATTTTTAATGAACGGCCCCTGTAAAACTAGTTAAAAGAAATATACAAACGTTTTTTGTCAGAAACTCTTATTGCGTAGGCCTCCTTCCTATTAGTACAATTACTATTAGTACTAGTCACCTATTAGTACTTACTAATTAGTACTAGTCATCTATTAGTACTTACTAATTAGTACTATTCACCTATTAGTACTTACTAATTAGTACTTCTCACCTATTAGTACTTACTAATTAGTACTTTGGAAGCTTACTATCACCTACTAACAAAATTGGTTTCCGTAGTAGTTGGAAAAAAGGTGTTTCTACCAAATTATAAATATTTCAGATCTTGATGTTTTATGTGACGAATAAATGGAAAATTCCAGTGCATGTATATTACTCTTTTAACTCTAGTGATATATGGATCAATAATATTAATATGTTTGTCCAAACATATCTAGATTATTTATTTCTATGCATCACGATGTTCAGAAAACTTACATTGCTAGAAATTTCGGATATTGTTGAGCCATAATATCGTTAAGTTTGCTCCAATTAGAATAATAAAATAAAATGTAATTATCTAATTCCTTCCGCTGCAAATAATACAATTTAAGAGTGTAATAAGCTAAAAATAATGTTGTCTTCGTTTCCCATTTATATCAGAAAATGAAGCTTTTTTTCTGTTTTTAAAAATTGAGTGATTAATTGCTTTAAAAAATTACGATTAGTTTCCTTTAATAAATATGGTGAAGGTTAATTTAATGATGTATACATCGGTAATAGATTATGTATTAATATACGCCATCAGGACATAAAACAAATTAGTATGATCATTATTTATCAAGCACATTTTTTTACGAAAACATTTCAATCATTTTAATGGTTTAATATGCATTTTAATGGACCTATTTTGCCATTAATTTCTCGTTTTACAAATGCTTAAAAGATAGAGCATACTGTTTTTTTAATTAATACAATATAATAAAGAGTAAAAAATGACGTTTATAAACTAGCGAGAAATTGTTTCTATATCGTCTAAAGATTAATTTTTTTCATCTTCTTTTTTTACATAGGACCATTCATAAATTGATTATCCAACTTAAAAATATCTTAAATACATAAATAATTGTTATTTCGGAGAAGAGTAATAATTGTATTTGCAACCTACTTAATTTGAAATAAAAATTTGACTAATATTAAAACAAATATATAGATATCGAAAATAAATGTATGTACCTTGCATTCATTTTTCTGTTTAATATGCACTGAGAAAAATGTATGGTTGAAACTACTAGAATTTTGAAAAATTTACCATATTTTTGGCTTTATGGGAACACCAAATATACCGTAATTTTTACATAAGCACTTTTGTAATAATTTTGGTAAATTTAACAATAAAACATTGCTTTATAATGTGTATTAAAATTTATTATGTGTGTTAAAATGTAGGAGCTCTATTATGATACATTAGAGCAAAACCCTTTTTTCAATAATTTTACTTTTCAGTTTTATATTTTGACCAAGAGTATAATAAAAAAACTATAATTTTGAAAACCAGGAATTCTGGTTAACCGTTACCATATGAATGGTTTATATACCACGTACTTATTACCAGAATTACGGGTATTTTATGAGAAATGTCTTTAGCATACAGTACAGTATTTCTTTTCCGTGTGCAATCTCAAGCTGAGGAACTGTTATTCAACTATTAAGAAATAACTATAATTATAAACTCTTATTAAATAACTATAAATAATTAATTTTACGCATGTAATCTTTACTCTAATTTCAAGTGAAAATATTTTAATACCATTAAAATAGAAATTATTAACTTTAGGAAAATGAAAGGAGAATTATGAACTGAATCTGTTTCCAAGAATTTAATTTTAAAAGTTATTGACTTACCTTTTATGACCAAAGTTATTGATGGAGTCTTTTAAGTTCTGTTCTCGATTTAAATTAGATTCTTTAATTGGTATCGTAGCACTACTTTTCAGCTAATAATATTTTTCTCTTCATTTTTTTCTTCTTTAATGATAAACAAGCATTGAGTAAAAATGCCATTTAGAAGTTAAACACATCTAATGGCAGTTCAACAGTTTAATGGTTCAATGTGCATCTAAAATTACCTATTTTGCCAACATTATTAACAGTCTTTTGACAGTTTGACAAATGTTAAATTATCTTCGAAGTCCGTTTTTCGAAAGTAAATTTATTTATACATTCTTAAATTGGTGGTTAGTTTATTTTTTCACCAGTTCTTATGAAGAAGTAAGAAAATTTCCTTGCATATTAAATTTAATGAAATAGTTGCAAATATTTATTTTAATGAAAAAGCTCTGAGCTCTCATGTCATAAAAAAACAACTTCGGTAACTAAGTGGTAAGATTTTACATATAGAAATTTAAAAGAGTTCTCAAAAAGAAAAATTCAAGTTATATTTTTGTAGAGATTCTTAGAAATCATAAAGGAATCAATTATCTTANAAACCTGAGAATGCTCACTCTGGTTATTGTTATCGGGTTGCTCACTACGTGCTCTTGCGCGCCGAATCCAGTACCTTTTTAAAATGAAAACTGTTGCCAGCGCGAGAAAAGAAATATCATCGGTTTTATTGATACATACATACGTACGTATTAGCGTTTTATATAATATATAGATGAAATAGTTGCAAATATTTATTTTAATGAAAAAGCACTGAGCTCTCATGTCATAAAAAACAACTTCGGTAACTAAGCGGTAAGATTTTACATATAGAAATTTAAAAGAGTTCTCAAAAAGAAAAATTCAAGTTATATTTTTGTAGAGATTCTTAGAAATCATAAAATCATTTTTGATTCTAAAATAAATTAAAAATGTTTTTGTTCAAGAAAAAACACAGCTTATTGTTTTATCTATTTCATTTTTATTTTTATTATTATTGTTATCAATATAACCATTTATCAATTTATCTTTGTATTTTTGTATTCAAGGGTTCAAAAAAAAGGTTTTTATGATATATTATACAACGCCAAAAATGTGAGTAATCATAAAAACATTTCAGTTTCTAAATTAATTCAAACAGAAAATGATTTAGTTAAGTAAAAAATCTTCAGAAACTGAAACGGTAAGATATTATTTGATTAAACGAATAGATAATGACTTGATTATACAAATTGGATATAACAGTTGACATGCTTCAAGCGCTCAAAAAGAGACATCCATTTTCAAGGCTTGCCAGACGTGAATTATTTCAAGACATTTGATAACATTTCAGGAGATGTAAAGACATTTAATTCAAGTCTGGAAAGTCTTGTCAAAGAGTGCCTATTTTTCAGCTTTTGAAAAATGTCAACTATTATTTTCAATTTCTGTATTTTTGAAGCGAATGAAGTTTTAACCAAGAAAATGCTTTATTTAATAAAAAAACATTGTTTTCCTTGTTTTATTTTTATCATTATTGTTACTAATATGATCATTACTGTAATACTGCAATTTTTTAAGCAATTTGGTTATTCTAGAATGTCAAAAGTTTTCTCCGTCAAAGCTAAGCAAATCTAATCTCCAGAGACAGACTAAAACCAGATGGTTAAACGACCCAAAAGAGAAAAAAAACATGTTTGTCCTACCATGTGGGCAGAGACATTGAAAAGTAGTTCCCACTAGTCCCTCGGCAATGTCCACGCAAAATCCTCCATGTTGGCAAGGGTTGCCGTAACATCCATCCCTTTCTTCGCAATATTTGCCCACGAATCCAGCACAGCAACGACACGAAAAAGACCCCTGGGAAAAATAAAAAAAAGGCAGACATTAAATGAGATAGAGACAATGGAGAAAGAAACAAAAATAGGGATCTAGGCACGTGTAAAGTTACTGGCGAAATCGAGCAGTAAACAGGGTTCGAAATTACCCGTTAGAAGTTTTTGAAAGGCGCAGAATTAGAGCTTTTAAGCCTTCTTTTATTTAAAGAGTTTCCTTAAAAGTGAATAAAAGGAGTGCAATCAAGCTGATCATTATTTAGAGTGTTCAGGATAATGATATTCTGTGAAGTGGAAATAGAGAGTCGTATTCACGGAATCATTGATTGTCGGGTGTGTTCATCAAATTACTTGATCTTTACTGTGATTAGTTGGACATTACTTTAAAAGAATTCAATCGCAACTAATTAATAATTAGTGAAAAGAGAATATTTTCCAGGAAATAATTTTGTAATAGAAATATGCGTCTAATGTATTGTATTCTTCGCGAAATCTTTTATTCGAGTAAACTCACTTAAATTCTATGACAAATTACAAAAATTTTAAACTTAATGCACATTTAAATGACGTTTATTTTTAAAATCTTAATATACTATTGCGATGATAAACGCAAAGAGAAATGATATGAAGACATTACCGAACTAAAACTGAATAAACGAACTAAAACTAAATAAACGAACCAAAACTAAAGAAATCTAAAATTGTTAGACAAGTAAACGGGTATTAACATAATATTTTTGAATAAAAAAATTTTTTATTTGATTTAATGCATATTAGATATAAAACTTTCATGATATGAAATTAAAAAAATAGTTTTATCTAAACAAAAGCTATTTGATTTGTAACTAAGATAATATCGATGCGTAATAATAGATACGAAGTTTAATATTTTTCACTTAACACTGAAGACTTATTTTCTTTATTTACAGTTATAAGTTTAGACATATGTATTTTTACGGAATTTCTAATTCAATAAACAATCTCGCTAGATGAAGCAAGATTTCTATGTATACAAAAATTATGACATTTGAATATGCACGCCCCTGCAAAAAGTATAATCCGTTGCACGACGATGTTATATTTATACTAATGATTTTCTCCGTCGAAAATAATTTATTAAACATTCGGAAATAATTTAGTAAACATTTTTGTACATTTGAACCATAAAGAAGATTTAAAATGGTTTGCGAGAAGATATAAGTTGATTTAAGTTCAACTATAAACTGAACTACCTTCTTTGAATAGAAAATTAAAAAGAAAAACAAATATTTTAATAACAAAAGAGTAGGAGATTTAACATCAAAAGTATCAATTTTAAATTATAGTATGGCTAAAAATCTCTTTAACCTAGCTTGTTTCAACACAATGCAGACATTTTAATAACTCAACTATAACTCTATCATAATTAAATAGTTTACATTTGCATTAATTATAGAAAAATTTAGTTTGTAAATTAAATTTTGCTATAGTTAATTATTCCCAAAATATTTTGTCATTTTAAGCTCAAAATGAAGTTAAGTGAGTTTTTTGTGTAGAGTGTATTATAATTTTAACAAAATAAATTGAATGCCTAAAAATATGCGTTTATATTCGTTTCTATCCTCAATTTTATTTTTAAATCCACTTTTAGGACTATTCAAAATCATATTTCAAATATTTTTGAAATTGTTTAATTTATTTAAAAATTGTTTAGTTAGTTAAATGTGAAACTATTCTGATGTAAAGTAGAAGTTTTTAAAAAACTATATTCGAAATGGAATTATAAAGAAAATTGATTAATTACAATGTAAATAATTATAACTCAATTTTTTTTTCTCAAAATGTATGCCGAAATCAAAAATATCCATCAGATTAAAAAACTCTTTATGCAATTCTGATTTAAAAATCAGCTTATATTTTACAAATTATCAGTAAATTTCATTAATTTTCATCGACGAGTTTAGGCATCTGTTGTAACAGAAAATAAACACATAGTCAATTATTTTTAATAAATAGAATTATGCATGACTACCGTTTACAGCAGCTATTGGAAAAGAAAAATCTCTGCGTTTAATTGATTAAATACAAATGTTTTGGGAAAATTTTAAAAACGGTTTTAGAGAAATTTTAAATATATTTTGAATTTCACAAATTCTGGATTTATGCTACTGCATACACTGTCTCATATGTGTTGCAAATGCTATTCCCATCTTTAAATTTGCATAATTTATAGCATGTTAAATAATTTATATGAAAAAACAATTATTCTTACCGTGTTGGAAAAATTATCACAGAAACCTTTTCCAGAGCACAAAGATTGATCTTTGCTTTTAGAGCATTCGTGTTCCTGTATTTTGATCTGAAGACTCCACAATATGTCGCATTCTAAACCTTCGTCAGAGAAGTGGACTGGAAGTACAAAATATTTTTTTAATTAGTATTGTATCAGTGGATATCGCCGAAGAAAAATTCCCAACTTTAAAAATTTATCGCTATAGAATTCACATATCGATATAAATGTATTGAATCGTTTTGTGCACAATCTATATATTTTATGTAAATCAATGGAATCGTAAAATTTCTTAACTGGAGCTAAAATTATAGTTTTTTTTAAATGGAACTTTACATAGTACCCACTGCTTTGCAGACCGATTTATGTAAATCTTCTTATAAGAATAATAATTATCTTTATTACATACCTAAAAACATTTGTGCCTTTTATTGGCGAAAATAACTCATGAATGAAGTAAATACATCAGTGCTTGTTGCAACTTTCCAGAATCATTGATATTTTAAATTTTAACTATTGACTAATGGAATGTTGAGCCATGATGGCTCAGGGGATAGAGTGTTCACCATCCAATATGGTTAACCAGATTCGAATATCTGCGATGGCTGGTCAATACGAATTCAGCATCCAGCTTGCGCCGACCACAGTGCTGACGTAAAATATCCTCAATGGAAGACGGATCATGGGTTAGAGTCTCCTTACCATCAGGCTGATCGTAAGTGGTTTTTGTGGTTTTCCTCTCCATGTAACGGACATGTGGGTTAGTTTCATCAAACAGCTCTCCATGAAGGCAATTTCTCCCAATGATTGATCCAGGTGTTCCCTTGTCTTCTGGATTGGGTTGAAGATTACAAGGCTACGGAGTTGATCATTAGTAGTCATAATCCCAAAAAATTGTATCGACTGTTCAATGACGGTATTATAATATAATATAATATAATATAATATAATATAATATAATATAATATANATTATATTATATTATATTATATTATATTATATTATATTATATTATATTATATTATATTATATTATATTATATTATATTATATTATATTATATTATATTATATTATATTATATTATATTATATTATATTATATTATATTATATTATATTATATTATATTATATTATATTATATTATATTATATTATATTATATTATATTATATTATATTATATTATATTACATTATAAAGTAAGAACGGATTCTCGATCACAACCTGAAGTAGTTTTGCTTGTCATAAATTTTAGAAAACGAGCATTTGTATCATTATGCAGACATATGACTCAGTTGTTCATCTATTTGTCTCGTAAAATCACAATTTTTAATAAACACGTATGACAATATTTGTAATTTGAAATTCTGTAAAAGGTTTGCAATTATGCCATACTTAAAAATAATGAAATGCAAATAATTGGCTATCAATAGACATTTCTTACCAAATGCATTCAATTCCCCAGGCTGTAATACGTCATCCCTTAAGGTCATGTTTCTTGAATCTACGCTTAACAATGTTTTATGATGATTGTTATCACACATGGAAGATTCAGGGCGGCTCAACAAAGAGATCTTACTTGTGCCATTATCTGACGTATCATATAGATCTATGAATAACCTAAAGAGACAAGAAAAGATTAGTTAAAACACAAGTATAACTATTGCATAAAGAAAAGGATCCTCTAGCCTTTTTTCTGATATTTATTCCTGTCCTTTTACTCAATTGCATTATGCATCATGTTTGACTTTTAAATGCAAATGAGAAAAAAAAATTTAAAATTGTTTTGTTAAGTTCAATAATTAAGGTTGAAAGTTTATTGTTACAATAATTATCGCTCTGAAAAAGGGGCATGGTCAAAAGTACCAGAATACGATAACATATATTAACCGTGCTTACGGGCTCGATGGAAAGTCCATAAAGCTCGTCAATTTCTAACGAAATGCTTTGGTAATGATTTCAGTAAAATTGACAAAATATTATAATAAGCTATATGCTGTATAATATGTAATAAAATTAAGCAAATGTTGTGATTTATTTTTACCAGAAATGTCATTACAATACAGTACGGTAATTTTACTCGAGTTTTTTCACCGGGCTCGAATCATCATGATTCTTTAAATTTATTAACTTTTTCTTATCTGTAAATATTATGAGTGCTGCAATTTTTACATGTAAATTGCTTAAAATTAGATATTTGATCGTGTTTTTTTTCAATATATTTGATATATTTAAGCTATAATTTCAAAATCCACAATTTCCGCCAAACCGTTACCTTCTGAATGAAAAAATTATTAAATAAATTATTTAAATACTGCATGTTTAACTTTCCATTAGCAGAATTTTTTATTCTTTTTCCAGAAATGTAATTACTGTACATTACAAAAATTTTGCCAAAATTTTTTTCACCGTGCGATTTATAAAAACCAAAATGGATTCAAATATAGTGTATTTTATTTTTAAAATCCAAATAAAATACACTAATTAAGAAAAAAATCATTAAGGCAATCGGATAATTTTTCTTATAAATGCCTTTCGTTTTCAACAAGGCTTTTCAAAACATTTCGGAACAATTTATCTTCAATCTCTAATATAAACCAATATTCTCTAGATAAAATTGCTTTTGAATATAAGTGAAAATTATCTTCTTTTAATAAGGAAATAATTAAATTTTGTATTGGTCAAACAATAACAAAAATTTTATATTTTTTAAAAGAGGAAGATGCTTTGTTTTAATAATTAATTTTACTAATCTCAGTAGCTCAAATTATTAAACACGGAAGCTTATGCTTAAGATACTGATTTTTAAAGTTTCTTTCTGCTATATTAAAAAAAATGTCTCACTTTATTGACTACCTGACATTAGAAGTTAATCTTCATCAAAAAAAATAATAATAATCTCTACTTAAATAATAGTATTAGTTAACAAAGCTGTTAAATTTTTTAGAAAAATTTCAGAATGTATTTTAACAGAAATAAACATGTTTGCCTCTACCTCGCATGGATAATTTGTTTCTTTTTTCTGCGTAGAAATAAACATAATAAACAGGAATTTTTTAAATCTTTAAAAAAAAATGACCGAAAAACTTTTTTTCCGTTTAAGGCTTAAAAAACTTCCTACTTGAAATTCAAAAAAGCTATCGTTTTCAAAGAGAATACCTGATTTTTAAACTCCTATTTTGTTTCGATTTCCTGTACTTCAGGTTTTTCAAACTACTTAACTTTTTTAACTGAATTTTGATTTTTAACTTCTTTCACGTCGTTGATTCCTCTAGAGATGCAATTCATTTTAAGTTTCTCTATAAGTTAAAAAATATCTATTTTAAAAAATTATGTTATACAAGTAATGTTTATATGATCTTTTCATGATAAAGTGGAAATTTCGTGAGCTATATTCGTTGAGAAAAAAGTACTTGTATAAAATAAAATTTGCGTAAAGTGAGTAGCCCAAGCGTGTATAAGTGTTTCAAAAATTAGATTGCAGTTCTATTACTTTTTTAAAACTATTTTATTATTTCAATATTTTTAAGTTTTATTAGAAAACATATCACTTCCATTACAAAATATTTTTTAACACAGAAAGTGTCTTTATAAGCATTTTTTTAATAAAAAAATCTAAAAATACTCACTTTTTAGAACTGAAAAAAGAGAAATTAATTTAATTCTCATTTTCTGAATCAATTATTGAAAAAATATCTTTTTTTATAAAACATGCCAAAACTGTTATTGAAAAATTGATCTTTTATATAAGACAAAATTAAAAAACTCCATTCTTACTTTGAAGTAGGCAAAAGATCCCTTTAGGTTGATAATGTGTTTTTAAGCATTTTATGAATAGTTTTACCAAATGCATATTTAACTACATAGCTAGTTTCGGGGAAATTCTATGACCTTTATTAAATTTCCTTGACAAAATTTAAAATTTAAAATTTTTTTCCATAGCAAAATATAAATAAATAATAAGTTAACCATATATAAAGCCATGGGAGGTGTTCTTCCCATGTACTTAATTATTTTTAAATGCCGATAGGAATATATTTTCATGTGCGGCAATTTGCAGATAACTTCAAAAGACAAAGAAGCAATGATAAAATTTGTTAATATCTGCATTGCATTACTTTGTTAGCTGTTAGTAAAGGTAAGATATTTTCCTTTGTTAGTTATGCACTCGTTCATTTGATCATTTCTTAACAAGCTTATTTGTTGTTATAAATACAGAATTTATTAATTCGGTAATCTATATGCACAGAAGTTTGTGGAGTCGATTCTTTAGAATAGGTTAAATTTCGAATATACTACCCACTTTCTCACCAAACAAAATTAACTCAATCAAATTAGTAATTGTAACCTAAATGTTATTAGCTAAATGAATTTTTTATTATGATTTACTCTCATTCCCAAAGTAATTTAACGTAATATCATTGAAACAAATAGTTTATAAAGGGGTTGAGTAATTAAATATGGAAGCATTTTATGTGTTACTTTAGGTTAATTTGATTGTTATTTAGTTCATTTTTTTAATTAGTTGAAGTATGTTGAATGTTAAACCTTGCACCAATTTTAACCTCGATTTATGATAAATGTTATAGACAATCAACTTAGAATTTTGATGAAAAAAATCCATTATAGTTTTGTTTCATTAAAATTGTTTTGAGCAAATACTGCAGTACTTTTCAGGGAAAAAATAAGTTTTTATTGAAAAACAAGCATGGTTGAAAGTACAACATAGACAGTAACTTGTACCACTATTTGCTGAAACTTCTTTGTTGTATTCCTTACAGAGTTATAATATTTCGGGCTCTTTTATTTTATTTTCTAATCAAATTTATGGGAAAAAATGCTATGTAACTGAAAAATATTAACATCTAACATTTTTGAGTTAAGTTGCTCAGTTGTGGGGCTGGATTGAGTTATGTTGTTCAATTATGTGGAATTATTTCTATTAAATGTATTACGGAGAAAAAAAATTCTGTATTGTAATGATATTTCTTGTAAAATAAGCATAAACCACGATAAAAACCGTTTTTGTAATATGCTCTAATTTATCATGATAAAATTTCCACATTTTATTACATTCAAAAAATTTTATCGCATTTTATATAAAACCATAATTAATTGTTAATTTTACCAAAATCATGAACAAAACATTTTGGTAAAAATTACCGAGCTTTTAAGTATTCTCTAAGAACTAGAAATGTGGTAAATTGTACCATATTATCATCCATTTATTTATGTTCCATTATATCCATACTTTAATTTGACTTTAGTTAAAGTTATGAAACAAATTAAAATTCTAAGCAAGTTTATAAAATAAACAAAATTTTATAAATCTGATTTTATTATTTTCTAATAATTTATTCAATAAAATCAAAAACCGAAAAATAGTAGTAAAATTTTAAGAAAGAAAAAAAAGTAGTTAAAAGTCAATTTTTACATATTTAAGAATTATTTTACTTCAATTATTAAATTGAATTAAACAGTTTAATAAACTATCTCGAAATGTCCGAAATGATTCAAAACTTGTTTTCATGTTTTGAATTAATCATATTATTGTTAAAATATTATTTAAAATTTATCTACCCACAAAATTTGATTTTTGATGAAATATTTTTTTTAAAATTCTCATACTTTAAATTAAATAACATTGTTAGAAAAGAAGTTTTCCAATTTCGATTTGACATTTGATTGATTTTGATTTGCAAATTTTGTTTTGAATATAATGGGAATGTTCGCATATTGATATATTAGCATATTAACTATGATCAAAATTTATTTTGACTTAAGGCAATAAAAACTAAAAATAAAAGATAAAAGGAGGACATCATAGCTTCAGATTTTATCTCAGAAAACACGTGTAATATATTGACAAGCCAGCACAAGAACATTGTTCGTGTCTTCGGTAATAAGAACTCGGTATAAAAGACGAAGATTTTTGTCAACATTATAGCTACAGATTCAATCTCACAAAGCACGTGATGTTCAACACATTGACATGTTAGTACATTAGCATTGTTCATTATTTATTTTGTCTCAGGCAATAAAAATTCGAAAAAAAGACATAGAAGTTTTTCTCGGGATCATAACTGCAGATTTAATCTCACTAAACACATGATGGTTAGCACATTAACCTGTTAACACATTAACATTGTTTAAAATTTATTTTGCCTTAGGAAATAAAAACTCGGAATAAATGACGAAAAGATTTTTCCCGAAACCATAGCTGCAGATTTAATCTCGCAAAATAAAATGTGTCTTGTTATATTTTCCCTCGAAAAACCAATGCAGAGTCTTAATCAAGACTGACAAAAAAAGGTCATTACTTTTTCTTCGCATTTTCTTCGGGTAGTAATAACCGTGTATTTAATTTCCTTTTTTTCCCATCTTTAGAAGTATTAATTTGTTTGCTTCTATTGCGTCAAAGAAATGAAATATCCTTCGGTAAATTGAATAACAAACAATGTCTGGACACTCTGAAACACTTATAAAAAAAACACTAAAACAAGTTTTAATGCATCTTAATTTTAATATAATCGATATTTTTTTCTAAAAAGACTTTCAATTTAGCACTATATGAAGTTAAAACAGAAAACATTATTTTATATATTTACTAATATATATAA